ATTTTACATGTGCTCACTAATGCTCACTACTAGCTACTACTTTTGCAACTTTTCGCAATAGAAAAGTTAGACGTATTATCAATACGAAGATGCTCGAGAAGATTTAGCCGGTGATTGATGAATAAAGTATTACCGTGAAGTCGACAACTTTTGAGTGTAGGACTGGAGAAATGTATCTCTTTATTTGTAGGACAGTGTAACCATTTAATTGTAGTAATATTTACTAAGCTAAATTAAAAAAAATCAACTGTTTATAAATCATTTTTTATGTAACGTATCTGCTACAAGTTTGAGAAGGGAGACAGCCTAGATCAAACCATTTATTTTGTCGGACAAATGTTGTTTCATATTATTTATGAAACTATCTCAACATTCAGCTACAAAATTAACTGTTATTATTTACATTTGTATGATCACCAAATAGACATGTTTTCCACCTGCGCACTCTGTTAGCTACCTGTTTTTGGAATTTTTGCAACAGAAAATTTGGGCGTCTTATCAAAATAAAGATACTCACGAATATTTAGCCGGTTATTAATGAAAAAAGTTAAATCGTGAAATCGACAACTTTTGAGTGTAGGACTGAAAATAGCTACCTGTTTATTTGTAGGACAGTGTGACCATTTAATTGTAATAATATTTACCAACCTACATTGAAAAAATCAACTTGTTATTAATCATTTTTTATGGGACGTAATTGCTACATGTTTGAGGGGGGGGACATCGTAGACCAAACCATTTATTTTGTCGGACAAATGTTGTTTCAAATTATTCATAAAATTATCTCAACATTTAGCTGAAAAACTAACTGTTATTAATTAAATTTTCATAGTCACTAAATCGACGTTTTACACCTGCGCAGTATGTTAGCTACCTGTTTTCGCAATTTTCGAAGAGAAAAAAGTTGGGCGTCTCGATGAAATGAAGCTGCATTGAAAAAACTAGCTTGTTATTAATGATTTGGAAAAAAGGTCCTCGGCCCCCGGACTATTAGGATTAATAATCCTGAAATAAATACCCAGGATTAGAGAAATAATCCGGATCGGAATACTCAATCCAATCCTCCAAATTTGTAGGATTGGACTTAAAATGGATTATCTGAAATATGAAATAAACACTTAATCTCGGATTTAAGAAGTTTGTTGCTAACTTCGAGAAAAAATGACCTTTGTAATTTTTTTGATGATTGATGTTATTTAGTTTTATTTGAATATTTTTTGATGAAAAACCGTTGTGAGATAAGAAAATGTTTACATTTTAACTGGTAATTAAAACTATTTTTCATCTTCGTGCCTTTAATGAAGTTAGCTTGGAAGTTACTGAAGTTAGACACAAATGACACATCAAAGCAACACTAATCTTAATCCATGTAATAGCTGCGAAATAAACGAATATGGATTAATAATCCTTAATCCACTTAGTATCCGGATACAACGCGTGAAATAAACGTAGTCGTTACAAAAAAGGTTATCTGGATTAGCGATTTTGTCCATAGAATGTGATCTTTTGGACACTATATTAATGTTGAAGATGTCTTGAAAGATTTTGCAACAATTGAAAGTAGAAAAGTCAATTTTTTGTAATTTTTTTTGGGTTTATAGGTAAAGCAAAAAAACATTTTGAATATTGATATTTCATTTGATATTTCTCAATTTTGCTGTGTAAATTCGGTGTGAAGAAAGTATATATTATGTATTTAGTTAATTAAGCTTATCTGATCAGTTATTTACCTATCATCAAAGTATGTTTTCAATTTAAGCTTTTTGAGGTTCTTACTTTATAATTAAAAAACATGACAACTGACGCAATTGACTCAAAGCCACTCCAAAAATGTTTGCGGTCTTATTAATTGCCAACTCTGAAGGTCGGTTTCACAATAGCGAGTCACCTTCGGGTTGGTTTCAACTCCAGCCAGGGTGAACGTATCCAGTTGCAATGTTTACTTTGGAGTTTAACCCGGGGATGATTTGCTATTGAGAAACTCGCCCTAACTAGGGCGTCAAAATATGGAATCGCACGCGGGCGGCTTCAGGTCTAGCGGGGGCCCTGTAGTCAATGATAGTTTATTAATAAACTTACCTGTGGCTATTAACAGGCTAAGATATAGAAAAAAAAAAAGAAAAGTGAATAAGCACAATGTAGGAATGAGCCACTGATGAAACGTCGTGATAAAGTAGATAATTAAACAACAAAGGAATAGAATAATTAGTCCTAATAAGCAAGTTGAAAAAAAAGTTCAAATAGCGTGTGAGAAAAAATGCGTTGACGCAAGGGTGATGAAGCAAATCGGAAACTTCAAGATACTCAAAACATAATCAAAATGTGGAACGCAGAGTATAAAAAAAAGCAAAATTAGATACGAACGCGGAATACTGGCTGTCTTCCCAGATTTCTACAAAGCACTTAGAACGAGATCAATCGTCGAATGAGCACTTTGAGTTGCTACTTATCAAGATCCATGGTCTGGAAGATATTGGATACCAGCAGGGAAAGTTGAAAATCCCATGTGACATGTTCAATAAAGCTCGTAGAGAAAATGGTGTATTGAAACATGGAAGCTCGCTCATAAATGCTCTGGTTATTTTCTAACATTTATGTTATTTTTATGGAACTGTCTAGAGTCCCGAACGCGGGATCGCTGGAAAAAAACAAAATCCCGAACAGGCGTGGCTTAGTAACGGCGTTCGGGACTTTCCAAACATTGTGCGAATCCCGACATCGGGACTGTTGTAACAGAAGTAAACTCCCGACTTTTAATTTTATCAGACAATCAATAGAAAAACAAGGAAGTAACAAAAAACAAATATCGTGCATTTCTAGTAGGTTAACAAAATGGAAATGAAACTTTGACATCTTATTTTATAGATCTGATAATAATTATTATTATCTCAGAATTTTCCAACTGTTGATCTTGTTCATCATAGTCCATGTGGATTTCATAAGTCTATCAAAAACAACTTGTTCATGATAAGGATTTATTTCATATTTTCATCTTATATCAGGTTTATCTTTAACAGGTTAATCTTGTATAAATTAGGGGCATGATTCTTTGCGGATGTGATAGTTTTTGCATCCCGTTTCCAAAATTGCACCCTATTTTCTTTCTCGATATCAATAGCATCTTGTAATTCCTTATAAGAAACTATGAACCAAATGTGTCATTTGCGTTAAAGAGGATACGAATTTTCAGCCAAAACTGCCTAAAACACAGCAGTTCAGCAGTTAGGTAATCTAACCTAGGTGTAAAGGAAAAACAAATAATACATAAACAATTATTACAACTTCGGGATTTAACTTTTGTTACCATGGTCCCGAAGTCGGGATTAGAATTATTTTTGAAAAGTCCCGAACGCAGCTATTAAGCCGCACGCCTTTTCGGGATTTTCCGATTTTCTAGCGATCCTGCGTTCGGGAGTCTAGACAGTTCCTTTTTTTATTTACATATATAATAAATAAATAAATATTAACATGTATTTGGGGTTGATTATACTGTGTGCACGTTGAGTAGTCAATTAGACACAGAGAGTTATGTATATATTATTTATATCAGTAAATACAAAATTTACATGGTAAAACCCATAGATTTAATATCTACTAACGTGACAAGATAGGTAACGCCCTATCTAAAAGCATTGGAGCAAGGTGGCACAAACATGTGTTAAGAATCTCTACGTATTCCCAAGAAATACGTAGAGCTATTTTATTAGAAGCAAAGGCTCCCATAAGCGTACGCATAAAAGAATTATTTTTTGAAATATATATTTAATTCCAGAAAAAGGTAGTTTTAAAAATGATAAATTCGAGCACTTAAACTGAAAGCAAACTGGACTGTTTCCAAAAAAAAAAAAAAATACATGAGAATGCGACCAAAACAATAGGTCTGTTTCTGGAGAAATCACAAACCAGTCAGAGCGAATTTCATTTCATTCATTCTAAAATCAAAATTATTGATTTTTTTTTACATACTTAAACCTATGAATGAGTACCTCGACAAGTACCCCTCAACCTGGAGAGTACTCTAAAAGCGCTGGTGCTTGCAACAACAGGAACAGTAGGGGCTTTAAAAATTTTAGCATCAGTTTTTGAAAATGTATAGTCTCCACTGCTAAAATGGTCTGCACAAACATACGTCCATTTGCTTACTGAGCTGGATTTTAAATTTATTGCTCCTAACCATGTTTTTTCCATATCATAAATTATTGGGAATACTAAAAAATAGTGTTAAATAGAAATACATAATTAAAATATGTACCATGTTGTATTTTTGTGGCCTGCATGCATCTCCGACACTGTTTTTTTCTCCCTTCAATCATGTCGATGTCATAAGTTTTGTTTACTAACGGGTGAAATGATAAACAATCCGCTGGTTTTCCTCTTTACTGACACACTGCACACTTATTAGTAATTTTAAATCCTGAATAAGAAACTTTCACGAAATGTATAAACATGTAAATGATAAATTTTTAAACAATTCCACTTCAAAGCAGTGAAACACCCAAAAAAGTTGATAAAATAAACACACAATAATATATATTGACATTTACGCAGGTGCGGCAATCGGTTGCTATTGGGAACCACCCAAACAATATACTCTGTTTAGCTAGACTTGTATAGAGTTCTTTTCGTTTACATATTGCCTTAGAGAGAGATGTCTGGCTAAAGATTCAAAATGTAAACGGATTCTTGGAAATCGTACTATAGAAAACCAGCGTAAACAAAGTAAGAGAGACAAAATCAAAATATTTGGAGAGAGATCTTTGTACCATATTTGGAAGTTGATTACTCATCTTTTATGGTGCTAACTATATATAATCTAAGGTAAAACCGGATGACAATGAAGTTCCATTAGATCTGCATAATCTGGTTGCCAAGAATAACAAATATCACAATCGATCGAAACGTTCAAGTGAATTATGAATGAGTGAGAGTATTCATGTTCATGTTTAATCTGAAAAGCAAACTGATTTTTTTGTTAATTCCTCAGCTTATTTTTTTTCTAGAACCTGGAGGTAAATGTTACGAAACGTTCGACGGTACCCCTACTTGTGGAGAAGAGCTTACGAACCTGACTTGTAGCAATGGAATTTGTCGGCCTAGTAATTGTAAAAATTAATGCCATACTTTTATAGTTAGATATTCATTACAATGTCTATTTTAGTAGCAGAAATTTGCAATTGTCCCCCCGCACGCTGCCCCCCTGGAGGTGTTATAGTAGCAGGACCAGTACCATGTAATTGTCAAACATGTGTTATCCCAGGTATTACCAAAAATATCCCATTAATATTATATCACGTATGCTTTACTTAAGTTCCAATCGGAATGAAGCTGGTTCATAAAAGTCGTACATACGACATCAGAAAAGTATTCTGATTGAAACCAAAAGGAAGCCATATTTGCAATTATTTTTTTTAGAACCAGGTGTTAAATGCTTGAAACCTTATAACGGAACTCAAACTTGCGGAACAAACTTTGCTTGCTGCAAAGGCATTTGTCAAGAAAAATGTAAGCCACTTTAAATATGTATAAACAAGATATTTTATTATCAGTTTTCAGCCAAACCCTGTGAAAAACCTTGCTCATGCCCAAAACTTTCATGTGACGTTTCAAGTATCTCGATACCTGGACCAGGTCCTTGTAAATGTCCAATATGCGTAACGCCAGGTACTTTGTCTCATTTTAGAAATTGGCTACAACAATAATATTTTAATTTTTAGCGTCTGGAGATGCATGTTACAAATCTTCACTTGATGATCAACCAATTTGCGGAAATGTTCTTACTTGTTGTAATGGAACCTGTCAAAGTAACTATTAGCTCAAAGCATATTTTTTTTGTTAGAGGGTACACGTAGAGCGTAAACGTTTTTTGCAATGAACGTGTAATAATAATTGTAGGCGATAATAATTATACTGCTGGTAAAGTCAACAAGCTAACCTTATATATAGGGTCTACGGAAAAAGCATTCACATCACTACAAATATACAAGTTTTTTTTTAGGAGCAACTTGTAATGGATGTCGTGAACCTTGTGGAAGGCCACATTGCACTCCGACATCCAAATTAAATTTATTTCAAAAATAAAAATTTCATTTCAGCAAAACCTTGTACAAAAAAATGCAAATGTCCACCAATACCTTGTACTGAAGGTATTTTAGTACCAGGACAGGAACCTTGTAAATGCCCAACGTGTGTTATTCCAGGTGGTACAAAAAAAGAGCGAATTTGAATGTATAATCTGACAATGTTTTTTTTTAGAACCTGGAGATAAATGTTTTGAATCTCGAAACGGTGCTCTAACTTGTGGAACAAACCTCTTATGCTGTGAAGGATTATGTCAAGAAATCTGTAAGTCTTCTCCTCTTTCTTCTTCGTCTTCTTTAGCTTGTAATCGTCCATATCTTTGGCTATAGGCCTCTCCCATTTCTCTCCAGCCAACCCAATTCTGAGCCAGTCGCTCCAGTGTAATGTTGATGTAGTTTGAGGAGGCCGCCTATCCATTTCAACTGCGGTTTGCCTCCTGATCTGTGCCCAGCGTAATGGTCTCCACTGAATGAAAAACTCCAATTGTGGCTTTTGATGCCACGTTCTCCCCGCTCTTATCCAAGTATTTCTCTTTTTGTCGAAGAATCTTATGTTTAGCATTATCAACTACATGGCTCATCGTTCTTTTTAAATGTCCAAGTCTGACTTGACTGACATGCATTTATTATTTATTACACATTGGTTGAAAACTCTGCTTCTTAGGCAAAGTAGAATCATCTTCGAGTCCATTCCGTCTGATGTTCTCACCAACTGTAGCTTTTCGAAGCTGTTCGAAATAATGCTTATAATATTTCTTGTCTGGACCAGTCTATGGTTTTTTGAATACATCCCCCATTGCCAGTATGAGAAGTTCCGGGGATACCACATCTTTCTGCCTGACTTCCTCCCGATTGGAACAAAATTGGTGTTTATTTGGACATTTCTGTAGATTTTATGAATATGTTGTCCGTAATATACATACGTACAATACATTGCCCTTTCTATGACTCATAGACCTATGGAATATTTTCATAGTTCAGAAAACGATATACTGGGAAAGATGGCGTTCGGTGGCTTTTTCTATGAGGATTTTCATGGTTCAGAAAGACGAAAACCATGGCGGAACCCCAGGCTATTCGACGGGTTGTCATGTTTGATTTAGTGGACTAGCAGTTGGTGATGATTTTCAAGGATAACTTTTAGATTATTACCCTGTCTCTCTCTTTAAACAAAAGATCAATAGATGACGAAGTTGAGGAAATGTTGAAGTAAGGAGTCATTGAGCGTTCTAGTAGTCCTTGATCTAGTCCTGTCTGCCTTGCTCGGAGAAAGGATGGATCCTTCAGATTTTGCATCGATTTTAGACAGGTCAATAAATAAACAAAAAAAAGACGCATATCCTCTACTATATATTTCCATCGATATTAAGTCAGCATTTTGGCAGGTCCCTTTGAGTACATCTTCCAAGGAGTACACTGCATTAACTGTCATTGGCAGAGGTCTCTTCCAATTCTGTCGGATGCCATTTGGCTTATCTATTTCTCCCGCAATCTGGCAAAGAATCATCGACACTATCCTTGGTCCAGAGCTCGAACCAAACGCCATGTGCTACATTGATGATGTAGTGATAATTTCTAACTCCTTCTCAGAACATTTGCGACTTTTGGAGGTTGTATTCGACCGCTTGCGTCAGGCTGGACTAGTTATTTCGTTAAAAAATTGTCACATTTGCAAGCCAGAATAAAAGTACCTAGGCTATCTAATTGATAAGAAAGGATTACGCCCTGATCCAGAAAAGGTTGAGGCTATAGAAAATAACAGGAGAGACCTAGTTTCTGATATCAATTTCAACGCCTTTTCTGAAAAGCAGGACTACAAGGATATTATTTCATTTCTCTGGTATTTAGGCCCTAGTTTTCGCCATTCAGCATTTCATGTGTTCACTCTATCTTCTCCTGGCAATTAGTTGTATTTATTTTCAGATCGCCTTCTCGATCTTAAATTATTTAATATCTGATATATCTTGGGAACCTATACGTTCCCTTTTTCACAGGTTATCAATTGATTTGTCTCCTCGTTGAAATCTTGCATTGAACTAAATAGATCACATCTGAAGCGATTTTGTTCTTGTCCATTTCTTTTGTTTTACCTTCTTTTGATATGCGCATAGTTTTATTGGTACCAAGTCTTGGCTGTAGGTTTTTATTTCATAACGCTTTCTATCATTATTTCGTTATTTTCTTAAGGCCTTCAAAGTTGATTTTATTTTATCATTCAAATTAGATCTCAAGTTTGAGTTAAGCTCTAAGAACTCTGTGATGACTGCCTATAGTGAATCTTTTGATAACTGAGACCGAAGTAGTCTAGTTCGTTTTATGCCATACCCTTGGAGAAACTGGTAATAGCATGTAGATTTTGTTATTCTAGATAAGATTCATACAGCATCTCTCCTGTCCCATTTCTGAATCCTTATCTGATATTATCACCTATGTATTCAGAGTCCCCCTTGAGGCCTAATTTGGTAATAAAGTTTACTATAAGAATTGTTTCGTTGCTCTGCTTTCATATATGGCTCTTGATACCTCTAAGACAAAAATTTATACCAAATTGCTAATTAAGGTCGGTGCATAGACCTGGATGTGCTTCAGGGAGATGCTCTCATTGATAACTAGATGAGAATGAAACAGGATAGAAGATTTGATCACAGAATAAGAAACAATCAAAAGGAACACAGAAAAAGAGATCCGATAGAACTCGCTTCCGCCAGCATTTGACGTCAAGATAAAACTAACTGGTGATACACTACCACTAAACATCTTTCCGCCTTTGCCCAAGAGGCGTGGCTTCCTCCATGACCATCGGATCTCTCTTTCTGTATTCCTTCTGAATGTTTGTTATTCTGTGGTTTGGTGAAGGATGACGGGTAAAGGCAGGGTTTCTTCTCTTCCAATTTAGGAGCTGCAAAGCTCACGTAGGTAGAATTGCATTCCGGAAGTGGACGTTTCCTTCACTGAGTGTGTAAGGAAGTGCCACTCAGTATCGTTGAGCCAACACTTACCCCTCAAGAATTACCAATAATTATAACAAACAACGGCGCTGATTCTCTGCACCATCTCCTAACGCGATCAATTCGGAACTTTAAATGGAGAAGATAAGTTTGAAATTATTAGAGGATTTTGGAGGGTGAGAATATGCAGTATTATTTGACTAAAGGGAAAAATTGGTGAAATTGTTGGAGCAAAAAAGAGTGGATAGGTGCTTTCCCACAAATCAAATCACAATAATTACATCCGCAGAACAATAATTGCTGATAACGACTCAAACACTGAAGAGGCATTGACAAGATAATATGAATTCCCTTTAATGCAATTTAGTTCATTTAGGAGGAATTACTAGATCTTGAGCCAGGGTTCCTCAGACTGAAGAAACTCATCTGGTACACAAATGAGTCTCTGATGTAAGAAGGTGGAGAGGCTGGTGTATATAAGGAGCAACATGTGGCAAGAAACAATACTGTACTCGGGCGACAGTCTAGGGGGTCCTTACACAAGTTCCTACCAACTGCACAGTAGCAAAAAGGCACCTAGGACTAAATATTGGCCATCACAGCCATCCTAATAGCTCAACAATGAGGCGGACTGTAGGTTCTGCAGCGAAGGAGACGAAATATCAAAGTACCTATACAGGGTGTTTGGTTGGTCGATGCATATATTCTGGGGGGTGATAGAGTAAGTCATCAAGAACCTATTTAGTCAGACTTACCTTAGTACCAAGTTTTACGGTTTTCGAAATATTGGCGATTTAATTTTTTCTTAAAAAAATCTCATAAATACTTTGTTGGGCGCTTTTATGCGATATTCAGAAATACTATCTCAATTATTTTTGTTTTGTATCCCAACATAATGTGTAATTCTTGTGCTTCATGCATTAACAATAACATAAATAAAAAATTAACCATTTTGAAGTCACAAAAAGTGTAAACTCCGATTGCAAGTTAGGTTTTTTTTTGGAAAAAAAATAGGATAAAATAAAGGCAACCAAGGTTTTCAAATTAATTCAAAAACTTCTGTCAGATGTGCCTTTTCAAATTGCACATACCATAAAAAAATTACATTTTTTTTTTTGGATTGCAGTACAAAAATTATTTTACACTACAGATTTCCAAAAATGAGTATTTAGGGTGAAAATTGGACTAGCGTTTCTGTTTTTCTTCTTTTTACAAACAAAATGTTAATTTTTAGACTGAAATAAGTAAACAGTTTTTTAATGTATGGCTAGTTTTTGTGATAATTTGTGATGCTATTTCTGAATATCGCATTCAACAAAGGATTTGTTAGATTTGTTTAAGAAAAAATTAAATCGACCATATTTTGCAAACCATAAGACTTGGTACTAAGGTAAGTTTGGCTAGATAGGTCCTAAATGACCTACACAATCACCTCCCAAAATATATGCATCGACCTACCAAACACCCTGTATAGTCTATGCATGTAACGTTCTCGCCAATAGCAGACTAAAAGTCGGTATTATAAAACACTGAACCGATGGCTGAATTTCAACCTTCGGTTGAATCCTATCTGTTGGAAACAAAATCCAACACCTTTATTCTCATCGAAAGGTGGGCATTTTTTAATATAGTTCCTTTAACATAATTGGTATGAGTCGCTGCGTTCTTAATTTATAGGAGGCACTTTCCAAGAACAATTCTGCCACCTTTTTTACTCTGATGACAGTTGTTGTCATTCTGCCATAAAAAAGTAATAAGCGGTGATTTTTTCTATGTGCAGTAGAAATGTTTTATCTGCAAATCAATTAAGTTGATTAATTGAAAAGTATTGTATTTGAATTCCACTGTCCTTAGTTGTAATTTATTCGGCGAATTAAAGGTAAAAAAAAAACTATTTAGTGCTTTTTCTCCTTGATGCTTCCAGCCATGCCAGAGGATTTACAGTTTTAGAAGTCGAAGGAACAATTCAATTTTTAAATACATAAAGATCTGAACATCTTTTTGGTCCTTCGAGCCGGATATGGTGAGGAAAGGCATTTTTTTTATATAAAAAAAAAGTGAAGGTAAAAACGTCAAAAAAAAAAAAAAAAAAAAAAAAAAAATCAAAAATTGTCACTTGCGCAAGTCAGCGTCAGTTTTATGCTGCTATAAACAATACAGCAAGTGAAGAGGAAATTTGAAGACCAAGATAGATATCATAGGTACTTTTTGACATCAAATTCGAGACCGCAAGGAGGAATACTTTTTATTTAAAGGCAATAGACTGTGAGACAAGGCAACAGACAGTATAGGTACCTGCTTTCATTTGCCATGGATA